CTAGTAGCGATGCCAGGAGCCCCTAGTAGCGTCCTTGCTCCTAGTAGTGATGCCAGGAGCCCCTAGTAGCGTCCTTGCTCCTAGTAGTGATGCCAGGAGCCCGTAGTATCGTCCTTGCTCCTAGTAGCGATGCCAGGAGCCCCTAGTAGCGTCCTTGCTCCTAGTAGCGATGCCCTTTGTTCCTGGTAGCGAACCTTACTCCTAGTAGTATGGCCAGGAGCCCCTAATAGCGTCCTTGCTCCGTTCGTAGCAATGCCAGGAGCCCCGTTCGTAGCTTCTTGTTCCTAGTAGTAAGGCCAGGAGTCCCTAGTAGCGTCCTTAGGAGTTTAAAATTTCGGCATTAGACTGGATGTCGGGTGTGGCCACTTTGTCACGCCCAAACGTCCGATCCCTGCGCACTGCATCCAAGGGGCTTCTCTTGGAAGTCTTGCCATCCTCGGTTCGCATTAGGGCGCAAGATCCCATGATTGAAGTTGGGTCTAGATCCAAAGATAGAACATGTGGATTGAACATGTATATCGATAGAGCATGACATAGAATGTGAACATGCGGCCAACAGGCGAAGGCCTCCCAAAGCACGGTATCGTTCCTTTCGGGTAGGCAGCGTTTCCTTGTAGACGTCCTTCCCAAGTTGGGCCAAAAGAGAGCTTGGGAAAGGTAGGCCAAACTAGGAAGTGTTTCCTTGCAAAAGTTCTCCTTGGCAATGGGAAGCAACTGGAGTCTTTCTCTGTTTGTGCTAGGCATTGCTTCTCCAGATTCCCATGGCTTCCTTCCCACAACTCAAGTCTTACCAATTCGTACCAAACTCGCTGTCAACAATTGTCCGGTTTATGAATTTCGATTCAAACTCAAATCAGACTCGACATCCTATCTAAATCTGCTCAACATTTGGGGGCGGCCATTTGCCCCCGCAGCGCATCTATGACAAATGACCCGTGCGAGTCTCCCGCTTCCAAACTCGCCCCCCGAGGACGAGCGCGCGGATGCCGCCGCGGCCGCGTCTGCGTCCGCGGCTTTGCGGACGTGAAGCTGCACGGGACGCCTCCAAGGCGAAGGGACCAAGAGACGAAAGACGAAAAAGCCACGTTTTTGGCGAATGTTTTCGGTTTTTGGTTCAATGTTTTTTCCCTACTTCAGTGCAGGATGACGATGGATGAAGGCATGCAACCCCAACAAAAACCAGAACATTGGACTAACCCGACACGGCCTGACAGGGTCAGCGTCGCCCGATGTTTCTCGGCCTTTGACTGGCTGTGTTTCTGCCCTTCTTTTGGAGCCTCATCATGAGGGTGGAGTGGCAGTTGAATGTTCTCACCATCCAAATTGGATGTCCGAAGTAGAGACGGTTTCTCTGGAAGTACCCTTCACCTCCAAGACCCTTCACCTCCGAGGTATCTGGCATTCGCCGGTGAATCAAACAATCCGAAACAGCGGACGGTGGAGGCACATGCTGAGGATTCTTCATTGGACTGAATGAGTTGGCCGATCTTCAGTGACAGTGGAGGCACAGTGTTTCGTCATCATGGCGCGGAGAAACAACGGCACAGACTTTTCAACATTGCTGCATAAGTCTACATAGTCTACTGAGAATAAGCTACTGGGTGGCTGTTAAGGGGATTTTTTTTCCCCCAGCTTCTCGGCTAAAGCCTGCCAGTTTTTCAACTCAACTTCTCAGCCTGAGCCCTGCCAGCTTTTCAATTCAACCTGTGATTGCCCAGCTTCTCAACCTGAGCCCTGCCAGTTTTTCAACTCAATCTGTTGATTGACCAGTGATCCCCCAGCTTCTCAACCTGAGCCCTCCCGGCTTTTCAATTTGACCATTAAGTCCCCAGCTTCTCAACCTGAGCCCTTCCAGCTTTTCAACTCAACCCGTGGTTGACCAGTGATCCCCCAGCTTCTCAATCTGAGCCCTCCCGGCTTTTCAATTTGACCATTAAGTCCCCAGCTTCTCAACCTGAGCCCTCCCAGCTTTTCAACTCAACCCGTGGTTGACCAGTGATTCCCCCCAGCTTCTCAACCTGAGCCCCGCCAGCTGTTCAACTCAAGCTGTGATTGATCATTGAGCCTCAACAAATCCCCCAAGATTCTTAACTCAACCTGATTGAGTCCTCCCAGCTTTTCAACCCAGCTTGTGACTGATCTTAGCCCCCATAAGATTCTCAACTCGGTCCGGAAAAGTCCGGAAATTGAGGACACATGAGCCGCTCCAAATTTTCACAAGAAGCTGAAACGCTTAATAATCCCCATGCAATTTTCAAGACTTGACATTTCACTGGTCTTAGTCTAGCTATTCTGAAAAGTCCAGGCATTTAAATTAACTAAGTTAGTTGACAAAATTATGACAAGTATTGTTTGTTTGGGGAGCAAGGCCAATGCCACAAAACGAAAAAACAAGTCAGAAACTCAGCAGATTTACGCCAAACATAATTACACAAAACATTTGTAACAGGAAACATCAATGACAATGATCCTATAACAACGACAAGCGGTATCAATTCACTGTCAATGACATGATGACTGACATGTTTATGCAATTTCACCAAAACTCAATGCTGATGTTCCACCGCGCTCCACAGATCCAGCGACGACAAACACTATGGTTTGTTATTCCAGCCAGGCTTTTCAGCTTGGTACTCCAGTCACTCGTCATTGTCATGTATGTGTGAGGTCACCTGGTGACTTGTGAGTACCGTTTCAAAAGCTAAGCCGAGCCTACTAAGCAAAGGGCACTTCCGGCAACAATTCCAAGTAACAGTCAGTGGTTTGTATTTTAATTTAAGGCAGTGAACACAGTAATACTCAGGGTAATGAACACAGGGCAGTGAAACTGGTTTGAAATACTGGGTAGTGAACACAGTAGTAGTGAAGGAGAGTGAACTGTTGAACAATGAAAGACGCTGCCGAGTGCCCTTTGAAATTACCGGCCTAAGGCGGCGCCGGCAAAGCCAAAAATGAGAATCTGCCACTGACTGCTTCGACATCTTCGAAGCTGGTGATTCTCTCTTGTAAATGGCACAAGTGTGACCATTTGTGAAAAGCCACGCATAGGCGGCGGCAATTTTCAAGCCATTCAACTACATCCGGGTCGTGGCAATCTGGATTATTGCTCAATGCAACATACGCCATGAAGCCTTCCATTCTGCCTCCAAGGGTTTCGTCGTTGGTCATCAGGGCCTCAGATGACGAGAGCAAGGGAAGCTGCAGAAACTATCCATTTGTGGGAAGTCCGGGAAGTCCCAAACACAAGAACACATAACAATGACATAATAAAAAGTCAGTTTACTTTTATTACTAAAGTCGAAACAGGTGACAATGACATGACAATGACGACAAATCAACAAATGTGGATGACAATGACTCAACAATGATCAATGCAACCATGGTTCCATATCAACATAGGCTGGCAACGCTAGCCTTGGATTTGCTTCACCAGGAACAGTAAAAAAAGTCCTCAAGTCAAACGGAATTCACTCACTGGAGGGGGAAAATAAAAAAATCACCGTAAGCAAATCCATGCAACCTTAGGACGTTGGCGAAGTTGCTATTGCCCAGCTCTGGGGTACGTAGTACCCGCAACACAGTGCGATTTGCATGGTATATGCCATGCCAATCACCACCGTCAAAGTGGAAGTGCTGGTACGCAATGATTTCCATCCTGCTTTGCATTGGGGACATGGCCATCAGCAACTCAAAAATTTCGTCGGAGAGCTCGAGGATTTGCTGGGCCTTTTGCTCGCGAGCGATTCTCCTGAGCTGTTCTGCGCGGCTGGACATGGTCACGACAATGACACCCGACGGAAGAATTTGGGCCTGACAAAATGACTGCAGCCATTAAACCATGACAATGACGATACCCCACGGACATTTTTGAACCAACACCAAAGTGCTCTCTGACACGAATAACACGCAAACTTACAATGACAATGAACTGCAACAGCTGGTTCCTTGATTCCTTGAAACATCAATTTCAACTACAATGCAAATGACTGCAAGAGCTGACTCATCATTTTTATTCAACTGCGAAACTGTCCAGTGCCGGCTGCCAAAGCGGGGACATACAACCACCAAATGCAGTACAATGAACTGATACCATTGTTTTAAAAATGAAAATGTGAAACTTGTCATTGTCATTATAGTAGGTTTTTTACTTGTGCGTTTTTGATGTGTTCTGTCTTGGTTTGCTCCATACTGTTATAGACAATGGTTTTCTTTTTGTTAAAGCCAAACTTTGTTTGTCTTTTTAATGGGGCAAATCTAAGTTTGAATGTGGGTCAAAACTGCGATTGATCGGGACTTGGTGTTGACATTGTAAATGTATGACAATGACAGACCCCCGGTGGCCCGGCGTTAATAATGTAACTGCACCAGTATGACATTTTGTAATATGACTTGAGTTTCCGCAAACGTTTGTTTTGATTAACTGAACTGTTGATTGACAAAGACAGGGTTCATTCATGAATAGAAGGGCTCGTTGAGAAAGGCTGGATGACTGACACCAATATGATCTCTTTCAGTGACTGGCACCAGAATCACAAACCCACAGATCACGCTGCTCACATGACAAGAGTTGATTCTTTGATTCCTTCAAAACAAACTACAGTGTCAATCACTGCAAGAGCTGACGCATCATCACAGTTGCGGACTCAAGTCGGCTGCTGGCAGGCCTCGGCCAAAGCGGGGACAACCAAATGTACTACACAATTGTTAATGAGAATGACAATCATTACATGAACGGATGCAACTCAATCACAAATGGCAATGATATTGACATCATCAGCGTCGTGCCTTTTTTGTCTGCCCGGCGCAGGTTGGTTGACAGTCTCAAGCCGTCAAGTTATGACAAAATCTGGGTAGCTGACAACGAACTTCTCCTTTGATAGATTTGACGCTCCCGCCGTGTCTCTTCAGACACTGGAATGGGAGACCTGCTTCTGTGAGATCGGTCACCCCCAGTCTCGCGTTGGTTTGCCAAGCGTTCTACGGTTTTGCTCACTTTCTCCACCTGCTTGATCATCACATTCAACTCTGACTTCAATTCGTGAAGTAATGCCAACGTCTCAATCAGCAAATCCATGCTCGACTCAACCATGACGCGCTGCGCATCGAAAGCTCCGGGCGCCCGCTATTGTCACTAAACCTTATAAGTCATACCCTGCAACAATATGCAACAATTAACAATCAACAAGTCAATAACTGTCGAAGAAAACGGTTACTTGCATCAGTCAGCGGTCTCAAGAAAAAAACATTTTCCTTCCCCAACGACATGATGCTGGCGGCGAGGTTGAACGACTTTAAGTGCACTTTAAGTGCGCATGTTGAGCGACTTTAAGGTTGAGCGACTTCCGGGGATACAGTGACGTCATTGAAAGGTCATTGACAAAAACATCATCCTGCCCAACCGCCGCCTCTCAGTGGACTCAGTCTGCCCAACCGCCGCCTCTCAGTGGACTCAGTCAGTAGTTCGACCTCAGCGGCAACAGTAACCAACAAGGAAGAGTGGACATCGACGACAACCAATGTCCAATCGGTCCAGCCAACCTACTAATACTGCAGCGGCAGTTGACGGTCTCATTTTTCGTCGTTGTTTGTGCAAGGTGAATTGAAAATAATTGGGACCACTCCGGGCGTTGAATTATTATCAGCTCAGGCCAGGCAATGGTGACACAACGTCAACTTCTGGACGTGTTTCTTGTTTTTTACGTGGCGGCAAGTCAGGGAATGGATGCATTTGCCACTTGAAGTCACTGCCACTTCTGTCCCCATTGCTATGCAACCAGCAAAAGGTGTGCGCACATCATGCGTTTGGCAGTCACTGACGTCGTTGGTCTCAGTCTCAAACAGGGAAGTTTGCACACCTTTCTCAACCATCACCTTGCCAGTCGGAGCTGGGCGCCCGCAGCAAAACAGGTAGCACAGCAGTTGTGCAGCCATAGTTGCAGCAACAACTGCACCAAGAAGAGACAGCAGCGCTGACATGATTTGATGTGATTCGGGGTCAATGACTGACAATGACTGACACTGGCTGAGCCACACATCACTGTC